TAACTTTTTTCTTTTTTTTTTAATTATGGCTGATGCTATTTATGGTTTTGGGTAGTGTCTGTACAGAATTAATAGCTGCTCTTTATTGTACAGCAAAGAGGTGAGCACCTTCATGCTGAGAGAAAATGTTTCACCTGAAAGTTTCCTAGAAAGACTGGGTGAGATTGAGTTAATCAGACCCTCAGCGGGTATAAAACATCCTTTGTCCATTGAACTGAGTGAAGTTAACTTAATGAACACCCAGGGGTGAGGAAAAGCTAAAGCTGACCTAATATCAAAATGAATTGTGTTCATCAGAAGTTACAGAATCATAGAATCACTGAGTTGGAAAAGACCTCCGGGATCATCAACTTCAGTCCAACATTGTCAAATATAGAGTGAGGCATCCAGAAGAGTGAATAAAAGCCATTCAGCCGAGAGTTGTGTGAATTAATCACTATCCCATAGTCCACCTGACCCTTTGCACAAGAAACCCACAGGTTTTCACAGATTGAAATGGAATCATTAAGGTTGGAAAAGAGCTCCAAAGTCATCCTCTCATTTTGTTTAGATGAGGTGAAATTTCAAACATCTATTATATGTTTTCTGATGATCTGTCTCCTGAATTTTACAGCAGTTTTATAAGTGTGAATCAACATTCTCTGAGGCATCCTGACAAACAGACCCAAAACTCCAGGATTTTGCTAAAGAATATTCAGTAGTTACCTTAGACACCATGAAGGAAAAAAGATTGATTTGTAACTTAACTGCTATATGGTTCTGGTTTTTAGTTAGAGGAAAAAAAAAATTAAAGTGAATTTTCTGTGTGACTTCATATATCTTTAAGGCATTTAAGATATAGAACAATGAAGATGCTGAAAAATATTCAGTTAACAGACTGGAACTATGCAAAATCAGATAGAAATAGAGAAGAGAAAAAGGAGCAGCTCCATCTTCTACACAGAGATCAGCTGAAGACTGAGGACAGTTAGGTAAAACTAGGAGTTAGGATTAGAAGGAGATAATTTGAAATAAAAAAGTTCACTGCCTAATGGACGTCCTGATGCAGCACAGACATCATGCTGGGCCTTTGCAGAGAACCAAATTTTACATTTAATGCAATGTTTCTGAAAGATGGGAGACTGATAACTCTCTAAGGTGAAATCCTCTGCCTAGTGAAGGGCAAGAAGAGTTCAACCTAAACAGGAGGTTTAAACCTATGATTTTTGTGTCTGTTGAAGCATGAGAGTCTTGGTAAGCTTCCCCAGTTTTCAAGTCCTTGGTGTGAAGATGTGGTTTGTGCATGGGAAACTTGAAAATCTGGAATCATTCAGATGTTCAGGTGTTACCTCAGCTGTTTTGGAAGTGATGCTACAGACCTAATTAAATTTTTGGGAAAGACTGGAAAAGATCTGTCAGGGAGATTACTGAGGTTCCTGAAAGTCATGGTAATATGTTCAGCATTTTGTGATAAAATAGATCTTTCAGTTTATTAAACATGAGCTGTGTTGAGCATTTCATTACTAATGACATCCTTTGCCTTCATGGTTTGCTCTTTTTCCTTCAATCTGAAATATTGTCACAATTCTTCTTTGCACAGATTTGTCATGGAGCTGATGGATATGTACCTTTGGCCTGAGAAATTGGGTTCCTCTAATCTAAGCCTCACAAATCTACAGAGCAGAAATTTGTGTGACAAACTCACTCCAGGTTCCCTTTGAGGTCAATGGATAGATTTAGGACGTGACAAGAATTTCCTTAAGGGCAGAGAATTTGTCCTTATGTGTCAGTGATCCTTGCTCTTCATAGACTATAAAGGGAATTTAGGTGTGCATTTAATTTAACTGAAAATAGATGCCACCATTGCAGATATGTCAGAGCATTAAGTTAATCAATAAATACATTAATAGATGTACTCAGTACCCATGGGGTTTACAACAGGAGTCACCTCTTGTTAAAAAGACATCTGTAGCACACAAGAATCATGTTTTAAAAGTGTATTTTTCTCTTCATTGACTTCAGAGACATTTTTAAAAATAATTCCATTATCAATATCTACTCCAGGTATGTCCAAACCTCGGTGAGGTGAATGTTGCTTTTCAGGACTACAGACCTTGATGTTTTCATTGAAGAAGTTAATATTTGATCAAAGTATTCATTTAGGACAGCTCTTAAACTTTAGAGAGGCAGGACTAAATGGCAAAACAATTTAATCTTCCTTCAAAATCTATGGTTTGGAGATTTTTGCTTCTTTTTTGATTTTTTCTCTCAAAAAGGTTGAGAGGTTGAACCTTCAGCAATCTCCTTAATAAATGTGGATGTGCAATGGAAAAATAAAAGCATGATTCCTTCAAATACTGGTCAAATTAGGCAATCTTTCTACTTTGTGTTCCTTTTACCATGAATTTCTAATTTCATCATTCAGTAGAGGAGTGAGGGAGAACAGAGGACACCGTTATTTGTTTGTACTAGCACTTCATGAAAAGTCCACATGGCACTGGTGGTCTTATGCTTTAAGTGATTTTAAGGAAAATAACAGCTGGAAAACAGAATGTCAGCCTCAACAAAACTGATATTCTAATTGTTTTTTTTTTAAAAAGTACCCTTAAGACTTTCCTCTCTCTGTGGGAGTGTGAACAAGGCTTTTGCTAGACATTTTTGGAGAACATTATCATCCAAACAGCCACTTGAACAATTATTGTCCTCAGAACTTCTAGACCCACCCTCAGAAGTTTCTTTCCTGTCTGAAAGAGTGAGGGAAGAAAAGAGGATTAATGTCTTAGGCTGTTACACACCTGAGAAATTCACTGTATCCTTTAAGATTTTCATTCTCTGTTGCACATAAATTTACCCATCTCACAGGGCCTGCTTTAAGTCTTCTCTCTTCCCAATGTTCTTCAAAAAAAGGAATTTCTCATCATCCATACAAGCATTAATGTCTCTCTCATAAGTTTTTTCTTATGATTAAAATCTTCTTTGCCTCTTTATTGATCTTAATAATCTATAAACTTCAGAATATGTGATTTAATAGATTTTCTTCCTCATTTTTATGACATTATTGAAGATAACACCTCAAATAAGTTGATGATGGCATTATATTTCCAAATCCTATGAACTAATTGTGTGATTAATCAGGTATGATTAATGCCAGAAAACTGACAATAAAAAAAGATTCCCCCTGTATCTGCCCCTAAGTTAATCTCCCAAGAGTGCAGTGAGACAGAACATATTAATAGACAATTCTATTCTGACTTTTAGATCAAAACAACATTTATCCTTTTGTTGTTGTTGTCATCAGGTCTGAATATAAATGATAGAAGATATGGGGAGATTATACTTCTTTGTCCAGTTTATTACCTTTAATTTGATTTTTCTTTTAATTCCATGAGTGGTTCAAGACACTAATATTCTTTACATCCCTTTTTTACAGAGATAACATTATTCTATACCTCTTCCTCAATGTTTTTGTTCCTTTTTATTATCCTGATTGCATGTCCATAGAGAAAATGGACTGGAAAGCACTCCAAAAGCTCTTTTACGCTGGCTCACTCCTGTACAGATTAATTTTTTTAGAGATCATCAAAGCTGGGCACTCTGAATGTTTTTCATCACCCTGTTCTGAGGTTGTTCCTCTCTTTTCAAAAGGTTTTGGCCAATGTCTGATTTTATTACCCACAAGAACAGTGTTCTCTGGTTTGTGGAGTCTTCCACCAAGACCTGAGGTTTGGTGTCCATCAAATTTATGGTTCTGGTGTAAGAGTTGGGATGAATTTATCCCCATTGGGGCCCAAAGTCTGACTGAGAGGTACCAGCGCTGCACTCACATCCCAGAGCTCTACTGGAGATAATTGTGCTCACAAAATTCTTGAGAGTGTGTTAATTAAGTGTTGAGTGCTGCTAAAATAAACACATCATTTTGGGTTATCATTGAGCATGTATTAGCAATCTAAAATCTGTATGCAATGCATCAAATAGATAAAGGCAGAGGGGACATTTGAGTTTTAAGAAATATGCAGCTCTTTGAAAAATCTTTATGGCTTTTTACCTTCCTTTGTCCTTCATCTGCCTTCTTCACTTAACTGAACGTAATCAATGATATTCTTCCCTTCTGAAAATGTCCTGGAGGTTTTTTAGGTCACTTTGTTTTTAATAAAGCACTTGCCTTCTTTTCAGATCAACATTTGCTTTTTCTTTGCCCTTTTTATTTTATTTTTTTTTTTTTTGCTTCTTGATCAATCAGTGACACTCAACAAACCGTGCACAAGTTTTGGCTGGCCCCTGCTTTGGGGGAATTTCACCAGTTTAGTTCTCACATGTAAAACATTCATTCCCAGCCCTTTTGTTTATATCTGCTGAGCTTAATTTCCCTCTGAAGCCCCTTTATTCTGAAGCAGCAAAGTAGTTAAAACAGTGGAATTACACTCAGGTTTCAAACAGCATAAACTGAGACTAAAATCAAACCTTCAGGAACAGTTGTGAGTACGAGAACATGCAAGGGGGTTACTTTTATTTGTATGGCTGTTGGTTTTTTAGCTTTATTTGTGTGGTTGTTTTGGAATTTCTTTTGCTGTGCAGAAACATATCACACACACACACACACACAAAAATCAACAAAAACAAGTGATTTCGAACACTCCACTGGGATTAAGCAATTGGATGAGAGTTTTATAATTGTACCATGGTAGCAGTCTGAATCCCTTAGCAAGATTCCCCTCGTTTTTTGGCATGGTAGGAGAAAATTCCTGATTATAATAATGCAAATGAAAATAGCAGCAGAGAGCATTAAGCATAATTAATGTGCCATTACTGTAGCAGTGTAAAGAAGGGGGAGCAAACTGCAGTGTGTGTGCAAACAGTCTTTGGGAACAAATAGGAGTGTTGCGTATTTGTTTGTATAATTACGCCGTGTATGTATTTCCAAAAGTCTGTCAGCAAAATATTTTCTGTGCTTTCTTCTTTAATTAAAATGCAGGTTGCTAATTGCAAGGCTGAATTAAAGTTCTTTCCCTCTGTTGTGACAGGAGACTGGCTCGCTCCACCCTGCTGCTGATCCCTTTGTTTGGAATTCACTACACGGTGTTTGCCTTTTCTCCTGAGAATGTCAGTAAGCGGGAGAGGCTGGTGTTTGAATTGGGACTGGGATCCTTCCAGGTGATTACACACTGAATTCAGCTTTCCTTAGAACCAAATCTCTGTTCTTTATAACTACATTGCATGCACAGCTCTCAGAGTGTGTCTCTGCTCGTTTACGTGTGTTTTGTGTTACCAGGGTTTTGGGGTTGGTTGTTCGCTTGTTGTTTTTTTTTAACTCTGGTTATTTTCTGTCATTCTTTCAGGATTTTAATTACTTTTTCTTCTTCTTCTCTCCCATTTCCCTAGGGTTTTGTTGTTGCTGTTCTCTACTGCTTCTTGAATGGGGAGGTAAGACTTTCAATATTTAATGTCCCTCACCTGTCATCAGCATCCCATTTTCTTGTGGGAGTAACTACTGTTCCAACTGTCCATTCTAACTCATCATTTGCCATAACTGCTGATACTTTAGTCGGAATCTCACAATTCTCAGAAAAAAAAAAAAAAGAAAAAAAAAGGAAAAAAGAAAAAAGGATTTGTGATGCCTTTACCAAACCAAAACATTGGCCTTACCAGAGATGATGGCTCAGATTAAGGCTTCCTGACAGGGCTAGGATATGGACAAGTCTCTTTTGAAATGTCCTCCAGGTGCAGAATTTTGGATGGATTTTGTTGAAATTTTCCCTGTTCTTTTCAGCCCATTCTCCCAGCCTGTTCAACTCTCTCCAAGAGCTCTGACATGTCCCTATCACTGCCCATTTTGGAGCCATCAGCCAAATTGGTGATGGTGCTTTTGATTCCATCACCGAGGTTGTGATGAAGATGGTGAGGCCCTGGCACAGGTGCCCAGAGCAGCTGTGGCTGCCCCTGGATCCCTGGAAGTGTCCAAGGCCAGGTTGAACAGGGCTTGGAGCAACCTGTGACTGTGGAAGGTGTCCCTGCCAGGGCAGGGGGTGGAAGGAGATGACTTTTAAGGTCTCTTCCAACCCAAACCGTTCCATGCTCCATGTGGAACAGTGTAGGGTGCAATCTCAATACCTGTAGGACACCATTAGTGATAAGGTGCCAGGCTAAACAAAAACCATTGTTCACCTCTCGGTGTGGTCTCCATCCCCTCTTGCAGATCACCCACCCACTCTAAATCTTGCCAGCTTTCCTAGGAAAGGGCTGAGGGAAACATTGTCAAACCCTTCAAGTCCAGGTTTTCTTGTGTCCTTGGCCTCTTTTGCTGGCACCACTCAACTGGTGCCAGCTTCTTTCCTGAGCCCTGCCGCCTTCATCCCTGCACAAACACAGCCAAGGGTGTCAGATGCCCAGAGCCATCCCCCAGATACCTCCTGGGTGCCTCACACACTTCACACTCCTCTCAGCACATGGCAACTGCTGCTGCTGCTGGCCACATTTGTGGTTTTTCTGGTTCTCCTCTTCCAATCTGCATTTCCCTGCCTGTTTATCTGACAGAACTGAATACCTGAGGTAATTGTTTCTGAATTGATGGAAAAGGGTTCCCTGCTCAGTGTTGCCTTAAGAGGAACATGGAACATCTAGAGTTCATCCATTCTCTCCTGCACTGCTACACAACTCTTGTGCAGCCCAACAGTTGGAGTATTTTCCTAAAATCACCTTCTTTTCCTCTTTTCAAGGGAGCTGAGTGCAGGTCTTGCCTGGCATTGCTGATCTCTGGTACAAAAAGATCTCAAACTCCTTAATCCTTGTGATTCCTTCTCAGATAAACCACAACAATCTCCAGACTCAGTAAACAAACTTATGGGTTACCTTTGCTCATGGGCACAGTCAAGGTCTCCTGAAGCCCCTTGGAAGGAGCGTGTGGAGGGATGGTTCTTAGCCAAACCAACACAAGCAGGTTGATTAAAGCTATTTTCCCTCTCAAGATATCAGAAAATGGTAATTAGAGAATGTCTTGTGTCGCCACTGAATTTCCTACAGCAAGAAAATGTTTGGAATATCACGGTCTTCCAAATGTAAACACTATTCCCGTTTTACAGAGATAATATAACCCCATGCTCTATCTAATCTATAAAATATCTATGCTTTAACCAAAATTTGGAGGTCCTAGAAGGAGAATGTAAGTTTTCCAGTTGGATTTTTATTCCCTGTAGTTTTTGTCCATACAGTTGAAGCCCTTGTTTAGCATTTTGACTTTTACTGATCCATTTTGACCATATTGATCCAGGAAAATCTAGCAATGACTTTTAGAGACAAGACAAACATCTTTGGCACAGAGGCTCATTGGAGATTGGAAAGATATATTGAGAAAACATCTCTACATATTTCCTTGTTCTTACACTATTTTATTTGGAAATACGATACAGGAAGGAGTACTCAATGGTCTGAGCAACTACAATCTCCCTTACACTAAATCTTTACTTCTTTATATATTTATGTTATTTTTATATATATATATAAATATATATATATATATAATTTATTTATTTATACACTTGTTCACAACCCAGCATTGTTGCCGGAAAACTGGTAATAAGTGAAAAGTAGAAAAGCTGTGGAATTATTTGCTTATTACCTAATTGAACTTCTGACCTTGGATTGTTTTACTCTTGGTAATTTACTGTGGGTACCCACAAAATAAATCTCTCAAGAAAATGAGGGTGGCACAGATGTACATCAATCCTAGAGCTGGTCTGCTTGGAGAGGATCTGAAAGCAGGAGGCAAAGTTTCCTGTAAACATCCATCCACTAATGGCAGGTGAGAGAAGCTGTCTCTGTGCACAAGGAGTTTCAGTATTTTCAGTACTTTTTGATTGCTGGTTTCTTTGGCTCCTTATTGTATCTTTGGTACTGGCCATTGATCAAAGCAGGCTGTTTTTTCCTCCAGGTGTTGTTGATCAGGTGTTCCATGCATCTCTGGGTTGATCCTAAATTATCTGAAGTCAGACACAGAGCCTGGGCTGGGCTGTAGTTCCCCACTACATGCCCAGACCTCTTCCAGCCATGGAGGAGTAACTTCAGATTTTGCTGAAATGGGGAGTTTAATAATAACCTTAAAAACAGTTCTGTTGAATTGTGGGTTTTTTTCAAATCTTGATACTTTGTCAGCATGTCCTCGAGCGGCTAAGTACATAAAAAATGACCTTTTGAAGTTTCTCCCTAAAGGTGCAATCAGAAATAAAGAGAAAATGGAGGAGCTGGAAAGTCAACCGGTATTTTGCTGTGGATTTCAAACATCGCCATCCTTCTCTAGCGAGCAGCGGAGTGAACGGGGGGACACAACTCTCCATTCTGAGCAAGAGCAGCTCTCAGATTCGGATGTCCAGCATAAATGCAGAGAACCTGGCGACATGAGCAGCTGAAGAGAGCAAAGCAAGCAACGAGCAAACCAAAAACCATCCCTTGAAAAAGAAAAATATGAAATAATAGTTTTGGTGGTGGTACAGGTCTTTCTTCCTTTCCCTTTCCCTTTCCCTTTCCCTTTCCCTTTCCCTTTCCCTTTCCCTTTCCCTTTCC